AATTACAATAAAATGTGCTCTAACAGACAGACAAACACAATTACAATGAAATGTGCTCTAACAGACAGACAAACACAATTACAATAAAATGTGCTCTAACAGACAGACAAACACAATTACAATAAAATGTGCTCTAACAGACAGACAAACACAATTACAATGAAATGTGCTCTAACAGACAGACAAAGACAATTATAACAATTGCAAAAATACATACTAAAACAGACAAAGACAATTACAATCAAATCTGCTCTAACAGAAAGCTAAAGACATTATTGGTGGTGGTGATGAAGCAAAGAGAGAATTCAACAAGCTGCACACATCCACAAGTGGAAATGAAGTTTTTAAATTCTCAATATTTGGCAAACTGTTTTCTGCCAGAAGCTACAAGTCATCTTAATATATAATTTTTTCCCATTTTGCTAAAGAAATATTTTTCCCTGTGGATGCATTGGTCTTGGTCAAGACATTGATAGACGAACTATTACTATTTATCATCACTAATACAAGCAACAGCAGTGGTAGTAGTAATAGTAGTATTAATTCTATTATCATTCCCATTATTACAATCATTCATAAAATAAATTACGCAAGGACTCACTCTAATTTGTCTCTCGTTCTTCTGCACGTGTTCCCTGATGAGTACAGCGGCTGACTGCTGCTCCTCCTTGTTGCGACGTTTTGTCTTGAGCGTTTCCGTGTAGTCCTGGACGGCCATCATGTCCTCTGCCGACAGTCCCAGGGCCACCGCTCTGTAGGGGCAGCAGAAAAATAAGAGTTACAATAATTGATTACATTAATACAACGCTCTATCCCATACGAGTATAAGCTACGAGCGCTTTTACATCAATCACATGATAACTGAACGATTCATACAACATAAAACATTTCACAGTGACAAGAAAAACAAAAGTAGCAATAGAAAGGCTTCAGAAAGAGTCATAAGCCTAGAGGAGGGGGCAAAGGGGGAGAGGGGATAGGGGCAGAAAATGGAGACGAAAGCAGACGACAGAACATATCTAGAGAGCAGGAAAGAAGTTAAAAGAAGACAATGTTAGAGAAGAAAATTATTTTGCAGTCACTACCCGGATTCGAACCCGGGACCTTTGAATGAGAGGTGAACACCTTAACCTCTAGGCCACGAGAGCCCCCCCAAAATGGTGTATGATGGAGTATTACACTAAGCAGTCAAAATGAAGACAACACGCAGGGTTCTATTAAGTCCCAACCATTGGGCCCATACTTGAATTAGAAGTAATAGTTGCTGTAGCAGTAGGAGAAATACACAGAGATCCAAAAAAGACTGTACAACTTTTTTTCCGAATATCTCGCACAAAATTTGTACTAGACTGTCATAATTTGGAACAGACATAATTCATTCAAAAGGATCTGTTTGACATATAATTCATAAAGACGAAACTTGCTTTCGAAAACGGAAATGGCTTTTATGCAAACCATCTCTAAACGCAAAATGAAACCAATTTAAAAGAATGTGTAATTTAAGGAGTCATGAAATGCTCGGTTTGATTTTTTCCCTTTCTTTTCTTTTCAAAATCTAATCTTTCCATCCATGTAACGTTTAAAAAATAATATTTCTTTTCTCTTACAGAGTTTCAGAAAAAGATTTTTTTAATTTTGTCCTCCTACGGACTTGTCCCATTTTAATGTGTCGTTCGTAATATTCAGTGGTAGCCAAACACAGAGATCCACCCAACCAAGAGTACTCAAAGCTACACACACTGTACACTTTACAGTATGGAGTTGCTTCTAGGTACAGTAGGGTGGAGGGTTGGGTTGCCCAAATAGGCATTTGTGGAAGCATACAGGGTGCAAGCAGCTGATTAAGCACTCAAACATTAACAAATTGACAAGATCTTTCACTGCCTATACTGTCTATCTATACTGAAGAGAACGGCCAGGTCACAAAGATTGTCATGACTTTCCAAAGACAGAGCAGATAAAATGAAAAAATAAGCTGAGGTAAAGAAATTAAAACATTTACATTTTTCTATCTCTCCTCCCTCTCCCTAACTATTATTATCATTGTCATTATTATTAATCATTTAAATGTGAAATATTCTTATTCTTATTTTTATTATAATCATTGTTATTGTTATCATTACTAACCACCGTGGCCCTCGGCTGCCATCACCGCCCCCTTCTGCATGGCCTCCATGACCTCCTTAAAGCCGGCCTCCAGACTCTCGTTGTCCTTGTTCAGCTGCTGGTTCTGGGCCCTCACCTCGGCCACCTCCCGCCCCAGCTTGTGCAGCTCCACGATATTCTCCTTGTAGTCTTTGTCCAGCTCATGGTCCTGGGGAGGGGGGTGTAGAAGGGGGAGGAGAATAGGGGGAGAAGGGGGAGAAGGGGGAAGAGAGAAGAGGAAGATGTGAGGGGGGAGAACGGGAGAGGAGAG